AATAAAGTAACATTTAACTTTATTTTATATTCACACACATTAGAGATTCATCTGTGGTCCTAACATTTATGTAGAGAAAACGAAACGCCTATATTGTTTTTTTGTGGAGACACCTTGAACTCTCTTTTTTACAAATCGGAGGAAAAATATCTATGACAAGTACCGATATTTGGAAAAATAGACAATAATTTACAGAACATGACTTAACAATGTTTAATAAACACTGGCAATATCTCTATAATAACAATGACCAAGCTATCTTATGTGAAACATGGAAATTAAATATCGGAACATTAACAATTAAAAACTGCTTTCTGTAATTAACATGCATAAATGTATTTGTTCCTTGCCATACATGCATCATCATTTTTAAGAATTAATAGCTGATTTGTCACCAAACAAACCCACGACCCTAAGATAGAAAAAATAAATATCAACTTCAGTTTTTTGTTTGTACAGTAATAACCGCACACACATCTTAATGTCCCTATGGTGTATCTAGCAAAGTCGAATTTGTAAATTAAGTTTGTTTATACATACCTCAAGGCGCGTGCAGAAAACAATTACTCAACTTTGGCTTGAAGTAAGACGTGATATAAATTCCATGATAATTATCTTCCCTACATGTATTGTACATCACACGACCGATATAACACCGCTATCATTATATAGTTGTTTTGTTTTTACGTCGATTTTTTTTAAATAAACCTTGATAATAGATATTGTTGCTGGAGGGATACCTTTACAATTAATAGTTTACCGATGATAAAAGGGAAAAGTCATATAAACACACAATGTATTAATCTGAAATTGATTTTAAAATACACATTTAAATGTCGTGCAAACTTATCAGTAGCCTTTATTTATTTTTGTTTTCTTCTTCTAAAATTTAGCATTTACCAATCATTATATACTCAGAAACTAGACGCCATGCTATTTTCTCTCTCTGCATGGTATATGAACTTAACATTAAAGCGAAGAAGCATCAAACTAAGACTTAGAGAGTATGGTCACGTGATATTTATATTTACTGATTTGCTATTTGTATTACCATCCACTGAGATAGAAAGGTTTTTGATGTAACAAGATTGTTTGGATGGTTGAGTGAGTCTGCATTTCATGTATCATGCAGATTGGTTTTATATGAATCCAAAAGGCTAAAATTGATGATTAACTATTCCGTGTGTTATCGAATCATTGCTAAGTAACACAGTATTTGACCATTACGTCAAGTTTGCACTCGTCAGTGGTAGTAATCATAAATACATATTCATGTACAGCTAGATTGAAAACATGCCAATTAGTTTTTATAACGTTATCTTATTTAAAAAGTAATAGATTGAAACATTCGAGAAAAACAACCTACCATTAGCTTACATATAGTGATATTTTTGAACGGAATACTTAGATAAAGCCCCAGTCGGACTGTTTATGCTTTGTCTCTTGTGCAATTGAATATTTCAATCAGGTATTAATGTTCAGGGAATCGATCGACGCAATGGAAAAATAATTAATTACTTGGTCGTTCAGAAAGCAATGAAATGTCTATTTTAAGTCCAGTCAAGTCTGCTCCCCGAGGTTTAATACAGAGGTTAGCCATCTAACAAACATCACCCATGGCCTAAGTCCCTTACTGCTACCTCCACATCAAAGTAAACTAACTGAAATGTCAAGCAATGCTTAATAATGGTATCGAAACATTAAGTTTATATCTCGATATTTTGAATTAGTAAGTCATTTAATTACATGAAGTTATTAAGTCGATTGTTTGTTTGTTTGTTTGGGTATTTAAGGACGTGTCAGGTTTCTGTGGTGGGAGAAAGCACTGAGAAAAACCACCGACCTGCGGTGAGTATCTGGCGACGTAGGCCTCGAACCTGCGATCCAGTGGTTATTAAGTCGAATTGTCAAATTATCATCTCAAAAATTCGAATTAAACGTTAAAAAAATTGTAAACGTATCAACTGTCTTTCAGTTTTTAAACCAATCAATTGAAACCAACCTACTGCTATATATTACATTACTTACAGCCCTATGTTATTTAATCACAGAGGGTATGACGTCACACCATTTTTAATTGGTTTCAAATAACGAAATAAACATATTTTTTTAACATATTGAAAACAATATATTACAGGATCCCCGTACCACTGCTAAAAATGTATCAAAAAGTTAGAAACTGGAAAGATGATAGCGTTTACACATACTTTCTGAAAACCTGATCTAGCATGACTTTTGAGAAAATAACTATACAATGAACAAAACATAACTAACAACATCTTTTTGAGTGTAAGAATGTTTTCGTTGTGTTTATGACTCGGTGTAATAGTTCCTGACCAATTACATATACGTCAATCAAAGTCTACAAACTCGGTGTAGTGGTTCCCGACCAATTACATAATACGTCAAACAAAGTCTACAGTTCGGTGTAACGGTTCCCGACCAATTACATATACGTCAAACAAAGTCTACAGTTTCGGTGTAGCGGTTCCCGACCAATTACATATACGTCAAACACAGTCTACAGACTCGGTGTAGCGGTTCCCGACCAATTACATATACGTCAACCAAAGTCTACAAACTCGGTGTAGCGGTTCCCGACCAATTACATATACGTCAAACAGAGTCTACAGACTCGGTGTAGCGGTTCCCGACCAATTACATATACGTCAAACACAGTCTACAGACTCGGTGTAGCGGTTCCCGACCAATTACATATACGTCAAACACAGTCTACAGACTCGGTGTAGCGGTTCCCTACCAATTACATATACGTCAAACAAAGTCTACAGTTTCGGTGTAGCGGTTCTCGACCAATTCCATATACGTAAAACACAGTCTACAGACTCGGTGTAGCGGTTCCCAACCAATAACATATACGTAAAAACAGGTAGCTATTTACTTATTGCATATAAACGTCGTTGTTAAGACTTTGTGTTTAAACAAAACGTCATGTATTTATTTTAATAACTAACACAAGTACTTAAATAACGATTGAACGACATGTCTTCAATTTCAATCTGGTATGAATGTAAATAGGTTACATACAAATTCAATGAACCCCTAACGGTAATCGATTTGCGTTCATGTTAGCATGTACATTGTAAAAAATGCCGTTCAATCCGTATATTTACATTATAAATAGTTATTTACCTAAACATGTATATCCCCTAAACTCCTTTTATGTTGAAGTGTCTCTCCAGTCAGTGCAAATTAGATTCCTGAAACGGACTAACGTCATCAAAGTGTTTGCTTCCAACGGTTGTCTCATGTTATTCGAGGCAGGAGGAGAAGCTTCGAAGCGACGCTGATCAAATTGCGTTTCTAGCGCTTTGAATACAATTTTTATGATAATGCTTTAAGATGAACGTGAAGTAGAAATGCAAAAAATAAATCTATTTTGTATCAATATTGAAATAGTTTATTTCAGGGTTCTCTCATTCTTTAGATAAAAAATAGAACAACTTTATTCTTGCAGTAAAAAAAGTTTGAGCCGTTTTGTATTCGAACTCTGAACTAATATGTTCGAGCATCGGTTGGACTGAACTTTTTTGAGCACTGATAATTTTGTTTTTTTCCTTTCCTCTTCTTTGTTTCTGTACCCGGATCTATGTGCGCTCATTAATAGATATCATACTTGACTATCAAGTCACAATCATATATGTGTAACCTGTGAAAGCTATATCAACGAGAAAGATGTTGACAGTCAATTGATATTAATATGATTGATAAATGAAACTTTTATGAATGTATCTTTGTAACAACAGTGTCCTCTGATCAGGCATTTTTGAAAGGCCACGAGCAAAAAGGCACACGGTCTTTCTGGATATATATGCATAAATGACGCAGTTAAAGAGAGATAATTCACAGAGAAAAATATTATTTACTGGAAAAGGGTTTGGTTATGGTCAGGTTATGAGGGGGTAACTCCAGTTGAGAACAGCGTAACTTGAAAGGATGGTGATAAACTGACTCGTGCACAACTGTAGTTTCTATCTCATTATCTGGACTAAATGGAAAACTATTCCTGTTATTAACAGTATACTGTCTTTGAATGTTTCATAACTATTTTAACACTAGTCTGATCAGCTTGCACATGTTTCATTTTCATAATATCTTTTACATCAGATCTGTTCAATGAAAGTAACAGTCTAAAAGTTGCGTATAGGATATGTATGTTTACCAATGACGTCACAAAATTGATTCTCGTTTGCTGAAAATCTGCATAGCTCCACCCACTTGTAACTTTTGGCGACGTTATATAAACTTAACTGGTGATAACTCCAGTTTAAAGGAGCAATATTATTGAATGGATATCAACGTAGACTGTAGATTGTCAAAACATGTTATCATATGCCATATTCGAAGAAGAACGCATCGCTGTTGATACGTATAATGGCCTTCCAGCTGATGCTGTTATTTGATTGAAGATATTCTGCTGTTAGATTTCTTAGTACCCGGGATTTGCCGTAGTCCTTTTCAGCACTGAAAGGGTTCATGATATAAGCACTTAATTTATTATTAGTTTGAAATTAACCAGTACATGAACTGAACTAAGGTTTGGAATGTACATATCTAAAGGGGGTTTTATGCTCGTTCCCTTCTGTTTTGACAGTAGTCCAGACCAGTTTTTGCATTCAAAGGTTGTGGCCACTTACACCAACTAAGAGCTTTAGAAGGATGGTTTACTGTATAGTACAGTGTATTTCATTTTTGCATACTGTATCCATAACCAAGTCTTATAATTTCAGCTTCATGGATGGGTTCTTCGTCCATCTTAAAAATCCTTTAACTAAAATGGCTTACAATCAGTCAGCTCTACAGCATTAGTTGTAAAGTGTTTAAACACAAATAAAGGCTTAACTCTGGTTGTAAAAATATATAAAAGGAAACTAGATAATAGTTTGTTGTTTTATTATATCTTCTATATACAATCTAAAGCTAACTTTTTTTAGTTTTTAAAGATGTTAATAGTTTTTTTTAACACATTCCATGAAAAACCTCTCATAATATTTCATATAGTTATATTTGCTGGAAAGTATTGACCATATAGGAGAAGGTAGCATGAACATCATATTTCGTCTTCGTTAAGGTTTTTTCAACATCATTTTTGATGTCTTCAATGGAACGTACATATCTTTTCCAAAGAGATTCCTCCAATACATCGAAGTTCTGAGATTAGTAGGATCATAGTTATACAAGCCGTTGAGGTTAGCATTCGTACATTTTCTGAACCACCAAGCTCCGTGTCGCGTTTCAGCACAGTTTCGGCTTTCGTCAAAGTCATTGTCTCTGTCTATTGTCGTGAACATTCGGCCATTGGTCGTTTTTAAGGCATCAGCTGTAAACATAAAGAGGAGAAAATGCATAACAATAAGAAAGCAATTAAATGGTAATTATATGCTGAATATTGTATTTTCAATATTAGTCTGAGCAGACAAATTCGCCTACCTAAAAATTACTGATAATATTTACATATATGGGCAAACTAGTTATTGCAAACAAGAAGACAACACTATGTTGTTAAATATCCGGAGCCGTCCGGTTCTTTATCAGTTACATTACAATTAAACACACAAAAACATCATAATGATAATGTTGAAATAAAACAAATATTAACCTGGTCGGAATGAATATCATTGTTCAAATCTTTAACGGTATATGGTTTTATTAGCGGAATCAACATTTCATATAAAAAACGATTCATTTATATACTCAAATCAACGAAAAATCAACGATGCATTTATTTAAGGATTAACTTTCTATTTAGTTTAGGTCATCGGGTGATAACTACAATGGAACTCGAGTAAATTGAATAATAGGCAGAGCTGATTATGATTAATTTACCTGAGTTCTATTGTAGTTATCACCCGATAACCTACACTAAATAGAAAGTTAATCCTCATAGTAATCGTATTTTTCATTAATATCAAATAACACGCTTTCTTTTAACCGAAATATATTCCGCGGGAGGATTACAAGCATTCCATTCAAGCCTGATAAGTGATATGGTTACGATTCCCACCACGCTTCGAAGGCCACCGTGACATGATACGACCAAACTAGGACTTATACGGCTGCATATCTTCAAAATAAACATCACATTGGTTTGTATGTTGGCTCTTAAACATGTAATCATAACTCATTAGCGATAATTCTTACTTCAAATTTGCTCTATGCGGCTATTTTTAGCACAACTTGCAAAGTTGCGTAACCGGTTGCACTTGTACAATATTTCACTCGCACTCGTATACTGTTATGATAAAATCATATCGTTGTCATGTCATTACCAGCTTATATCAACAGTTATATTTAATACCCAAAGATGTCCTGTTTAAATCCGGAACGCTATAATATGGCGCCAACGGCTCAGAGTTTTGGAACTCTCCCGCGTTTTTGTGGACACCACGGCAACGGTAATAGGCAACGTGTCAACAAAATCACAAATACACGAAGTATTTTTGTTTTGTTTTAACTTCAATCATTATAAAACCCAGTTCGTGTGATGTGATCTTACTATCAGTATTTATAGGTCATGTAAATTATCGAACCTTTCTTGTGACCATTTTCACCAGCCTTATCGAGTGCAGTTGAAAATATTACGGCAAAACTGCCGTATACCGAACGTTATTGTCGAAACAGAATGTACTATCGTATTTCTGGGTACTGTTTACACTATGTCATCAAAGTAAACGAACACAAACACGTCGAAAACCACCAAATCCAGCCGTCCTGTCAGTCGGTGCAGTAATCATCATAGAGTCGGGCGCTGTAAAAAACGTGACGTCATCGAAATGTATAAATTTCAACAATGTATGTATCATTTCAACAATGTATCTTTGGCATGAATACACTAATGAGTTGTACCAATCTGGTATCCCCAGTACTTTTGTTTACTTCCGAAAATAGCAATGGAAACCCCCGGATTTTTGTCGTACATCCATTGTATATGCACACGGTGTGTGCATTACTTGGCGCACGAGAATGACTGTCGTTATCGAGTGATAATGACAATGACCTCAACAAAGGCTTTTCAATTCCACCTGAAACTGTAACCATATACTCATAAACGAAATCAACGATTCACAATAATATACAAATATAAACGAAATCAACGATTCATGTGTGTACTCAAAGAAACGAAATTAACTATTCATATATATCATATATATACTCATTCCGTACTGTTGTCGTGTACACACTACAACAATATGTCATCCTGGTCCCCGTTGTCGTGTACAGACGACAAAATAAAGGGCCGTCTCATCCCCGTTGTCGTGTACACACGACAACAGACTTTGGTGTAACCTGTCTTATGTTTAGCTGGTTATCGCACGAGACTGCCGCGAAATACAATTAATTGTCGCTGAAATCAGAACCCATCAGTTTGCAAGAAATAATTTTATTGGTGCAGAGTACACTTTTTTCATTATGTGACTTATTGTTTTCGCATTTGCCGCAAGATGTTTGCGTTCGGTGCCTCAAATATAAACAATATGGCGGCAACTTAATACAATACGAACACTCGTAAATTCATCTTAAATCTACTTGTATTTAGAAACAAACTCAACGACTCCACATTCGTATCCATAATCAATCCACATTGGGAACCTGTACTATAACGCTGTGTTAAATACAAGAAATCATATCGTTTGCCAGACAAATGTCGATTTCTCAGTCATAATCAGCTGCCAGTTAGTCATTATGCTGCGAAAATGAAGGAGTGTTTGTCTATGAACCAGAACATGAAACAATAACATGTTTGTTCACGGTTACCTGTTTAATTTTTGCAGCAGTTACACCTAGTCTAAAAAGAACATTAATAATCCGCCATTTTGTTATATGCGTGGGGGCGAGTCTAATAAGTACATCCGCTACGAAATCTGAAGTCAACATCATGTGAAAACATGAACTATTGAAACATTACGATTTAAAACATATTTTTGTTATGCGATCCTATTTACTTTAAGTAGGTTTTTTCTCCTCAGTTATTTATCCTGAACTGCATTTTGACATATTTAAAACTTGCATGTCAATACAAAAAAATGTTTACTGCAATTCAATTAAATCATTTTAAATTATGAAAATATAATAGCGCACGTATATCATTTGACCCCGATCGCTAGTACCGACAGAGGAGAGAACAGAATACGTCGTGGCCGACACAACAGTTATCTCTTTGAGGGCCTCATAACAAAATCAAACTAACCAGTCACTTACCCCTTCCTTTCTTTCGCATAACTACTGTACATAGAAACACAAAGTAAACTGTATCTGGTACATGCCTCTGAACATAACAAAATGAGTTCATCTGTGTTCCAACTTAGATACTAGAGAGGTTAATAGTTTTAGACATTTAATCATAACATAAACAGCATTTTTTTTGTCGATTCCATTTCAGCCTTAACCGGCTATCCGGAAGAATACATGCACCGTACTTACTGCTAGGGTAGTTATTTTCTCCTTTGAATATACTTCCCACCTGTAGTAATGATTCTGTAATGTAATCCTTTCGTTATCTTTTGACCATTGGGGAATTTTTCGCTTCGCATCTGACGCGGTAACGATTTGTTCTTGCTAACTTTCCACGGCCAGTCATTTTGTTTACAATAAAATTGTGTACTTTGCGCATGCTTTAACAGAGGGAATTCCTAAACAAGGCGTTGGTCAGACAGGTAGAAATTGCGATGATTATCTTAAAATCATTCATTTTTATAAATATATATCAGCCAAATTCGATCGTTATTTTCCATAAGAAGACTTACGTGATATGTTTATGTAGTATTTGGAAAACAAACATATACGTATATATACACTTCACCATGATGTCCCTTTAAACGAAATCAACGGTTCATATCATTACTCATATGAACAAAACAACGGTTCATTTAAGTATTAAACTGCTTTAAGATGCCATTAATAGTCAATATAAATGCCCACTGCATTACAAAAAAATGTCAAATCCTGCCAATATCCTCTGGAATGTTGACCTGTTTGAAAAGCCCCTACGCACGTGCCTTTTTCTTTGATGTAAATTGCTCAATATAGTCAGTGGAAAACAACGAAAATAAGAAAAGTATTTTTCAATTTCTCCGTTTTTTTGACACTTGTCATTGTTTTGATGATTACAGTGCATTTAAAGCACAATCATAACATAAGCACTACTGCCCATTAACATCGCACGTTAATAACGTCACAGCGCGGAAGCATGTTTGTGAAATTTACAAATCAGTAATTCGGTAGCGGTGAGAATCCATGTCGCCATCCAGTTCTTTGTTGAAATTGTATACATATTTTTTTAATGTTGATACTGAAAACGACATTTCAGACGAAGCGGAGGGAGGGAGATATACGGGACACGAGACTAACCGTCTACAAATGGCGGACAGCGATTTACTGGGTGCTTCCTTTTGTGTCGACGACGCTGACGGTTATATGGTCGAAGAGATGACTCGTTTCTGTGGTCGGATATAAACAATATGTGTCTGGCTTGAAAACCTTCAAGGTCAAGATGCTCAATAGCTGTCGCACGTAAGCAGTGTGGTGTGCATTTTCACTCGACACCAGCAGGTCTACAGATAGTTGACATCCTGTTCTCAATATGAGCGTTTGGCTAGTGCTTTTGTTTTTTTATCAAACGGATATACTTTACGGAATAAGCGTCAATTCGTTAGTGTTTTGATTGATTAAATGTGTGGCCCCGGGTTGGTTTCCTCGATCCAAAGCTTCAATATTATCACGGGACAACACTTCGACTACGGTTCAGTATACATGCGTTTATTTATGGACGACGCGATTGACAACATGTCTCCCTGGCGATTTTTGTGTTGGGCCTCGTGATTCAACTTGGCATATTCACCACTTTCATCATTGTGAAATATTAACGAATTTAAATACAGTTGGTGGTAAAATTCTAGGCCCCTGGACACGACGTGCACGGATACATTATACCAGACCGACTGTTGGAAGAATGATCGAATTTGTGGTCGATAAATAGAGGTAAGTGGATATTTTTTTCAGATCTTCAAATTCAATAATTGGTTTGTGTTTTGTACGTTTCGATAGGCCAGATTTTGTTCGCTCTTCCAGTCGACCGTCCAACACTCCATTGGCTGTTTTTAAACTTTGTCCCTGACTATATCTATGTTTCTTTGTAAATCTGCGAGGTGACTATTGATCGCCCCGCTGATATTCCGTCTTTGCGTATTGCAGAGTTATCTTTTCTTGGGAGCAGGTATTGATTGTTACATCACTTGTTTGTGAGAGTCACGTCATCAATTTTTGAGAAAATGACGTAATTTTCTCACACAAACCAATGACGTAACAATCAATACCTGCTCCCAAGAGAAGATAACTCTGCAATACGCAAAGACGGAATTGATTAATGTATGTTTATGGTATGGGCTACATCTCCATCGCCTCCTTTTGTTCGGTCTCGCCCAACAGTAGAACACTTCCAGGGCTGTATCTAGTGTTTGGACATATACATATGCCTGTCCATCTGTTGACCATTGCCCTCGATGTTCCAGTCTGAGAAAAAATTCCAGAACCTACAGTACAGTATGGATACCTTTGTGTAATGATAGAAACAGTTATTTGCTCGCTTACAAAAAAATGCAACATTCGATTTATTTTGATGTTTATGCAATATTAAAGTCATCAACTATACAGCAGCTGTACACTGGGCCAAAATTCGATTTGTTTGATCATAGGGGCTTGTGGAAGATGTTCAATTAACGTTGTTTGCAAAGACCATGCCTAAGAATTTAATTTAACTTTTAAAAGTGTATCTCGTAACTTACCTACACTTTAAATTTCTTCCGAAATGTCATTATCTAATACACTCGTAGGCTTAGTCGTACTGACATAGTAAACGAACTGGTTGCCTACATTGGCACAGCCTCAGGCACAAGGCTGTGGTTGGCTCTTTTTATTTTGTCGCTGGCGCTTGGCTTCCATCAAACAATTTCTGTATTTCATCGCTGTCGACAGTTTTAAACCGTTTCTTTGGTGGCATGCATGGCATCTCTGGTTTTGGTTAAGGATGTATTGCTGCTCTTGTAAGCTCTTCCTGCATTTGTGAATGCTCTTTTACACTCGGTAGAGTTGAAACAACATATAAACTGTCAAATTTTGACATGTCTATACTCGACAGCAACAAATGTCACTTAGTTCCAAATTGTTAAGTCTATCTTGATCAAAATGTGGCAGTTCTACCAAGAAATCGCCATAAATGTGATTGTCCGCCTTGTCCAATTAGACACCAATGCAACAGAATTCAATTTAATTTCTTTTTATCGGTGAAAAGAAAATCGCAAAATTTCACACAGAAATGCTATTTTAATGAATTTTAATTTGTGTTTCCCTGAATTCATGTGTTTACAGTACGTCCTCTCATCCAGAAACCCTAAACGAGGGTCAAACGTGACTTTCGCATTGTTTGTTTGCTTAAGGTCACGTTCATGTTACTTCCCACTTTTGGTTCAAAGTATTATAACCCAAAACGTGATTTGCTTGGTTTACATAGTGGAATTGCAGCGCAAATGTAAATAGCTATATAGATACTCATTTAAACAAAGTCAACGATTCATTTAAATACTTACATAAACGAAATCAATACATATATATTCTCATATAGGAAATTCATCTGGACTTTCCCATTGTTCATGCAAGTATGAACGGGGAAAAATTGACTTACACACTACATAAGCGGCCGTAGCGAAGCGAAGGCCGTTCATGTGAAGTGTGTAAGTAAATTTGTAAAGTAAAATTCCAAATCACTATTAATGGGAAGGAAAACAAATAACATCATTTAAATTACGAACTTTGTTCATTCATTCATAACTTTAGAGTAGTAATATGACGTTATATCGCATTTTTATTTTGGGGATCTCGAAACATATTTACGTGGACAATTTCCAAATTCATCCGGCTTGTGCGACCTTGTTAATAAAACATTGAAGAAACAGTGGTTTAATTTGCGAATGATGTATAATTTAACTTCTACATAGAGAAAGTCGATCGACGATGATCTGGAGAACGGCCCGGAAAAGCAGGGTTTGACAAACGGTTTGAGAAAAGCGGTGTTTATTATAATAGAAAATGAATGCAGTAGCTAAACCTGTCAAGATTTTTGTCATAGAGCATTCATTGATAAAAATGCGAAAAAAAACTTCAATTCGTTTGTCATAGAAGGAACGTTATGTGTCGTAATTCCAACCCCGGGGTTCGGTTGTTTGTAGTCGCGGCCTTGTTAGGTGCGACGTGTGCAAGCCTAGGCCTAAGCTTACTAGTGTTTGGCCTACATGCCGCGTTCGTCATGTTCGTGGAAGTTTATGGATAATACAGTATATGCGTAAGTAAATTCACCCCAGTTGATACTTTCTAATGTTGGAAACATCCAGATTACTTCATCATATCGCCACTAATTTAATCACAGTGCAGACCCATGTGACATCGAAATATTGTCAGTTTGAGCTTTGTCATATTGATACCGTCTGAGGAGAAATCGAATCACAAAACCATAATTTTATTCATTCATTGAACATTCTGAAGATGAATTATATTCATGTATGGTTGTATCAAAGAAAGAGTATCGATGGGTGTTCTTACAAACACAATCAGCACCCGGAGCTCACGTGAAATATTTATAAAATGCTCTGACGTCACCAACCAGCGTTTCCAGTTTTTGCGAATGTTAGGACCTAAATCGGATCAAGCCTTTAGCTTTTTCTTACACTTCAAATAAATATTTTTTGTCAGTATATAAACATTATAAGATGACCTTCGGAATTCATATAAAAACAATTTGTTTATAGTGTCATTTTGTTCATATAGTCAAAAACATAATGTGCCAGCTTTTAAAATCGTAAACATAGCACTGACTTTTGAGTTTGAATTACGTTTTCTGGTGCTATTTGAACTTAAGCACTAACCGCCTGTAGACAAAAAATGGTGCAATGGACATTTATTCTAAATCCAGATCTTTGCTATAACTAACTAGTGAAACATTTATTGATTTCAATGTATTTTTGCAAAAAGTTATCCGATTTGGGTAAGACGATATAACTTGTTACTGTTGTGAGTATGGTCAATTGTAGATTACAATTATTTCTTTTAAAACTGCTATTACTTGAAATAATGAAAAATAAGACAAGGATGCAATTACAACATATTATTGATAAAAAGTAATTCTTTCATTTTTTTTCACGGCGATTTTAGTTTTTGCAATTGGAGACCACTAATACTAATAAGATGCCCAGAGGGCGTGTATCGCTCACCTGAATATTTAATCAGTCAAAGCAAAATGTGCTCATTAAGTACTATATTGCACTACAAATATTTCCCTCGCAAACTTTGTCGACTCCATACTTTCTCAAACCAAGCCAACTATTATTATACGATTCTATGCTTTTTGGTTCTTCTTTAGAAGTTGTTTGACATATTATTCCATGTGACCTTGTAAGTAGGTCAATGTCATTTTCCTTCTCAAACTTTCTCAAACCAAGAAACTACCAGACAAATCTTATGAATCCATTCCTTTTGGTTCTTCAGATTAAATCCTTTGAAATGTTGTTGACCTCTGTGACCTTTTAAGTAGGTTGAGGTCATTTTCCTTTGCAAACGATGGAAAGCTATATCCCAAAAAGTCATCAGCCAAATATATATATACTGATATTTATAAACGATATCAACGATTCATTTAGATTAGTATACAAACGAAATCAACAATTGATACATTTATACAATTATCAACGAAATTAGCAGTTCAAATATAAGCTCAAAATGTATATAGATTGTACAATATGATTTTTTTGTATTAATGTGGTTAGGAAGTTTCCAAATATATCACAGAAAATTCAAAACGAGACTGACTTTTTAATAGTTCATATTAATTGAGAAATATTTTAATTAAATGTAAGGGATCTGTTGTTACGAGTTAGGTCTATGTTGAGTTTATAAAACATATAGATAAACTAACTATAAAATACTTACAGATATTTCCACTGAAACCAGAAACATACACTTTGTAGTTACTGGTCTCATTAGAGATCTGGAATTCCGAGTATTCAGCGTAACCAAATGTCCCATTGAAAGTTTTCAATTGTACACGGAGTATACACGGGGTACGTGTCAGAGAAAATATATGTTCGTTTCCTGTTTAAACACACACAACAGAGACTTGTATTATGTTTTGGTTGCACATACATAAGTTAAAAGAACATATTTTTGTTTACAACAATTATCGAACAGGTTTATTCAACTTATATTTTTGCGCACGAGGGTCTTAAAGTTGGAGGAAAACGGAGACTGAGTTGAAATAACTTGTTTCATAATTGTTGTAAAATTAAGTTTATATATCTAAAATAATAATAATTTTGCTTCACGTACTCACCCAACCAGAAGTTTCCAAGAAGATTTCCAAATCCATTTTTGTACTCATCCCAATTTCTGAAGAAGTCGACCTCATTGCTTTGTCGATTTTGTATGATCTGTGAGAAACAATTATGTATGTTTGTTATACAGTGAATATATCCTCCTGTTCACACCGTGTATCAGCTAGCTATGTTATAGTAAATACATTGCTTGTATATTTGATACAACAAGCTATAGTTATTCACATATTACTGAAAATATATAAGAACAAGTTTTTCAGATATAAACACATGAGCAAGGTTAAGATATAACACAATATCGAACTAGGATATTTACATAAACGCAAATATCCATTTGTCAATGCTACATCGCTAATATGGGTTATAAGACATGAACAATATATTACGAATCGGGATTTTCCCAGTGTGCTTTATACAAAATGTGTATAATGTGACAAACATATTCTCGTCAAGTATGAGACAAATGCAGATGAAACGATAGTCTACAATATGTCCCAGGAAGTACAAACGAATCTTTCTCGGCGGCGTTGCCTTGTAGACAAAGATTAACGTTGCGCCCTAACGTGTTAAGAACAATCTGATTAACCTGGGCCCGTATTCACAAAACTGTTCTCATGCTTACGCATGTATCATGTGCTCTTTTTAACTCGCTTAAGTCACGTGACACTCAAAATGTCGTGTGTAAATATTCACAAATTTCTTTTCGTGTTTACGTCCGCAATTAACAATGCGGAATCACAAACATGACTGAATGTGTCAGATATTAGGCGTGGAGCGAGATCAATAAGGGTTATCGACCGATAACAAGAACATGTCTAGCATACGTCATTGAGTAAATCACAGCTGAAACTGTATTGTTTATATTATCAAAACATTTGGCTGGAATATTGAATCTGAATATGGAGACAGTTTCCTGAATACGGGCGCAGGTAATATAGTTGTGATACCGCAGGTAAAGTCTGTGCATAAAAGGAGAATGCTACAATGTTGTACATGAAGGTTGTCATACTTACAGTCCAGGGACCGTGTTCACTACCCATGTCGCAGTACACGTCAAAACTGTCCCCCGGTACGGGTGTGACACGGTACACCCCAGAATCACTTGCTGGATCAAGGCCTGCACATGTTTCTAAATTTATATCCATATTAAAATAAAAGAACGATAATACAAAAAACGCACCACATGTTATATAATTTCATTTAATCAGATGAAGTTCTCTTTCGATACAGACACATCAATATCAAATATCATTACAAACAAAAAACGCAATCGTTAAATACTGTATTGATTGGGTTATTACTCATTGACGCGTCCATTGAAACTTTAGTAAGTTTTTACCTCGCGGTTTACGTCTGACGATTCAGTTTTCAAAATCATTGAATCGTTAATAATTGGCCAGGTGCGCTTGCTCATTGAAATTCTGCAATGTAACGACTACGTTATACATATAGAAAGTTTCAAACTAGCGCGATGACAGATATCCATGGTCATACATCTCCGTACTAATACCAAGAATTGTTTTTATGCTTTTGAACTAGCTTTTCAAGTATCACAATAGTTTTGATAAATAATTTCTTGACATTTAAGAAGAAAAGTGAAGATTAAATATTCAAAATATGATTGATAGAAGCGGTCTGAGTTGTGAAAATTTCAGCGGAGCTATTCCAGGTCGCAAACAATGTTACCTGAATTGTTATATTAACGCTCTTAGAAACTGGGCTACCTGGCCAACCTCAGTGCGCTATCACAATAACACTACATATATTCACAGCGTCATTAAGAAGAGGTTACCGTATATTCGAAAAACACAGTGGAATTATCTAATGTTTTGCCTGCAGTCGGAGAGAGATTAATCCGATGAGTCACGCTGTCGCCGTTCTGTAAACCCAAAGTAACGCTACTGGGAATCACAATGTCAAGTTATTAACCTGGCATTTGGTGGAGGTCGAAACGGCTTGCAATGCCAACAAATCAGTTATATTGTACAAATGTATCAAAGCTTATGTCCAACCGTACCTCAGATATAAAACTAACATAATAACTCTTGTAGTATTCTTAAACTGTGGGTTCATAGCTTTTCAACTGCAATTGAAGGCAACAGCAAATACATTTACACTACCTTGGGAAAACTCTTTATTCTGTAGTTCCCTGTTATAAATCAATAACTACTGCCCAGCTCGACACCGAGTGTTTTTTGTGTTTTGTGAAGGGGTCATCGAACCGTGGTCTGTTACCATCTAAGGAGAATGCACATGTTTACTCAATGAAGGTTACCCATGACAAAATAAGAGGATGCTAAATTGGATACACATTATTATACCGTATAGAACCGGAGAGCTACTCAAGGGAAATTAGCTCGCGTGCATACGCTTACTGTTGTCACTATAGATATAGCATACTTGTATATATTGGCAGTGGCCCTATACAATGATATGGTTCTTAAGAAAGAATGACGGATCAGATAAAAGTACCTCATTCAGAAAGAAAAGCTCTGTAAAATGTATTCCAGAAATAAAATATCAAATGAATGTTGCATTAAAGAATCAAATTAATATCTTGCTCAATCTTCGATATCCTTTCCTCACGTTCCTTATTACAGATCAGTTTATTTTGTTTGGTACCCAACTGAACAAACAAATCAAAATGTTTTCAAAGAAGGACAAATGACGATACCAGTATAATTTGATTGCTGTGAGCAACTGTATATCATATTTTGTTGAACACATGTCGAAGTCCAGGATACAATAAAACTGAGGAGATCATTGTAAGAGGGACTTAGTTCCTGCTATTATAGATGTCTACCGAATACCGATGAATGCACCATTACTGTATAGAAACAACATTAATACAAGCACTAAGTAGATAAGACAGCGTATTCTTACCTTGCCTGATTACATTCAAGTAGAGCAAATCCATCTGTGTTTTGGTACTGTAGGTAAAACACCTTTGTGATAATCCGTCGAACGTCGCCATGGACTTGTTGTACGTCATAGCGGTCAGCACACATTCTATGGCCGATCCAGCCAATTCAACGATGTAAATAGTGTGCGGTAAAAGCATCGTATTTGAGACTTCATCAACGTCCCATATTTTCTGTGTATTTTCAACACCGCAAACAACTCCAACCGCTGTAACAAACATGATAAAGTCTGGCTTATTAATGGTCTATGATACCAATTATATCTAAGGAGGTGTGCATTTGACGGGGAAATATCCAGCACCGGGATTGCATATATTTTATTTGCGGAATGTGTATATATGAATGGAAACAGAATACGGAGCACACAATGTAGATAGCAACGCAAACAAAGGAACAGTTAAATCTCATTCCATACGTAATTCTTACCTGTAAACACCGGTAATGCTAACAGCCATACCATGACTACATGCAACACTGCCCATACGCCTCTATGACAGTGTCACTCAAACACAGGTTACGCAGGCTGGAGCTAGCTGCAGATGACAAGATAAACTAAAACCATTTCAATATATTGCAAAATAACGCTTTTTATGGTTCTAGACAGACCTATAGGGAATTTGTTTTGCTTGCTTCTGATGATTAATGCATTGTCATTGCCAAGAGGGCTGCTGCTCTTAATGGGTTTCGTAATGTTTATGATAATTCAAAGCCTCAGCTGTCGACTCCCACAAGGTCTTTGACGTTTGACAAAATTAAACATTGATGTGCCGGCAGGTCCGAATTTGACTTTAACCGTCAAGGGCAACTCGCGTTGGTGCTCTGAAAGTAGCATAGTCATGAACAACTAATTAATTCTAGTAACAATTGTCGATCCA